AAATTATATTAGCTCAAATAATGTTCTGACCATACACGCTTAGACAAGATTTTGCAAGAGTATCAGCCACAACATTAGCTGACCTATGGATAAACCGGCAACAGAAGCTAGAAAAGCGATTAATACATAAGAAAATATCTGAAATGATCCCGTGGATCTCCAAGATAACTGATCGGGAGTTGATCGCACCGACCAGTTGTAAGCAGTCAGATTCCAACAGCAAATGAGTTGCTTCTGCATCGATTGCATCCATAACTGCAGCTCTACAGGCCAAACTTTCGGCCATGAGAGGTGAAGAGACGTTCTCGCACACAGCGGAGCGAAGAGAAGAGGAACCGGAAGGAGAAGCAGACATCCAGCCAAGACCTGCAACATTCAAGTCTTTACGCCATGCTCCATCTGAAGTACAAGACACATGAGAACGGCACAGCTTAGCAAGATCCTGTAATCTCAATCCAGCAGGTTGAATTTGCAGCAGAGGAGGGAGCTTAAGTTGGGCCACCAGCCAGTCCTTAGCATCGAGGACAGATTTAAGAGCAGTTTCTGCCTCACTCCAATTCTTATCATTAAAGACCATTTGGTTCCTTGTCTTCCAGAGATTCCAACAGATCCATGGGGCAAGAGGGCCAGTCCCAATTCCAGCAGGAGGGAGGCAAGTAAATCCCATGGCTGTTACCAACAAATCCCTAACAGTTCCTGACTCAGGGAAAACAGAAGAGGAGAAAGGAGCTAGTTTCCAGACCTGTTGAGCAAAAGGACACAGAAACAGAACATGAAGGATGGATTCTGTTTCACCACATCTACAACAAGTAATATTTGCTGCAATGCATCTCTCAGCAAGTTGTTGACCAGTAGCTAAGGCACCATTTAAAGCCTTCCAGAGAAACAACTTAACTTTAGGAGAAGTATGAATGGACCATACTTCAGCCTGCCAATTAATCCCAGCAGTATGGGTGATTGGTGCAGGGAGATCATAGCGTTCTGGACCTGCAATAGCAGCATAATAGCCGGATTTAGTGGTGTAGACTCCACTCGAATTTCCGAGCCAAACCTGCTTGTCACGAGCTCCAAGTCGACTAGGCTTAATACTCAATATCTCAGCTGCTGTAGAAGGGAGGATGTCAAGAAGTTTTGAAACATCCCAATCCACAGTCCCTTGAATGAAAAGATCCTCAACCCTCCAATCTTTAGTGTGCAACTGAGGTGGATCCATGGGCTGCAAGGCCTTTGAAGAGGAGAGCCAAGGGTCATTCCAAATACTGATGGACTTGCCATCTCCTATGACCCAGCCAAGCTTTTTCTTACAATTGTGGAGAGATTGGTTGCTCCCACAGAGACTAAGTCCGATCATTTG